CAGACACAAAGGTTTTTAAAACCCTAAGAGATTTTACCAAGTCTGTCGGCTGCTATGCGCGATAACTTGTAAATGCTAAACATAGACAGTTTTGAATGTAATCCACCCGAACATCTTGACCTGTCGTTGAGCATCCTCACACTGTCACCAACTCTTGAAAAAGAGAGGCCAAACAAAATGTGTTGTATGCTAATGAAACATTGACATTGCATTCTTCTCTCATTATCAGCAATGTTAATCACTCCACGAAGCTCGTCTGTACAAGGTCCGAAGCTCCCACGTGATATAGGAAATATGATAGCTTCCTGAAAATAGATCAACTGTAAAAAGGAAAACAAAAGCATTGGACCGAGTCAATACTCTCTTTGTAACCACGTGTTAACTTGGAAAGCTGTAAGCCCGTAGGGCATTTACTTTTGTTGTTAACATGTAATACTTTAGTAATGAAGTACTCTGATGAATTGAGGAAATGTGGATCTTTTGTATATAAATGTTATTATTTTTTTGAGGGCGTTACATGTATAACCTAAATAAGGAAAATGTATAAAGAACCATGTATGCCTTGCATATAGTATGCAAACCATACCTAAGAATCCTCATAATAATAATAATAATAATAATAATAATAATAATAATAATAATAATAATAATAATAATAATAATAATAATAATAATAATAATAAAATTACCATCCATCAATGTTCAAGGGTATTCAAAAGAATAATTGTGAGAACCCAAACTTATAATCCCTGAATTTACTGAATGTTGATACGTGATTGAGAATAAATTTGTGTATTGTAAAATCCATGTGTAGAATAAATTTGAACCACCAGATGATAATTATAGATAATTTCAAAATAGTTGAATATGAATTTATAGTATTATTGTATTCAAAATGATGCATCTAACAATAATAAAGGTGAGAGACTTGCCTATAATGTCTTGGAATATTAAGCCTAACCATCCATCCATGTTCTCAAGAGCATTCAAAATTACGTATCTTACAATAATAAAAGTGAGAAACTTGCATATAATGTCTTAAACCTGCCCACACAAGGAAAGGTGATATTAACTCTCCTCACGAATTGGACTCAACCTCAAGCCACCACACTTGAGAGCCTCGTGCAATTTTTCCATGACCACAAGGCCACAACATTTCACTAGTGCCCCATCAGAACAATTTTCTGGTAAGAATTCTTTGAAAACATCAGAGTACTCCAAGCTTTTTGCATCACACTCAGTGCAACTACTTTTCAAACCTAGAGAAAGGGAAGAATAAAAGAAACAAAAATGAGAAAATTAAGTTAATTGTATAAAATTCTACATGTAGATTGTAAATTTAATATATAATAGCTTGGTGTAATATAAACACACAAGGGTTAAAAAATAGAGGTAGTATTTTTATGTAACAGGTATACCACTGTGGTGTATTCTTCTAAATCACAAGCATGTGAAACCCATCTCCTTATGTTTGTGTGGGAGACGTATACACCACTGTGATATACCCGTTATGTAAGATACTTTCACCAAAGAACAAAAGAAGGCGTTGCTTCTCACAGTCCACAAGCTCAGGATCAAATGCATTATCGTCGAAGAACAGAGAACTGCCGTACTCCAGTTCCACCTTCGAGGAAAAAAAAAATTAAAACATTAATTGCTAAATGTCACTAAGCAAATATGCTTTACAGGTCTTTCAGGTAAAAAAATTTATATACACATAACAAACCAAAACTTAAATGCCAGGGCGCATAAAAGCTCAAATAAGATTGTAAATACGAAAAGCCTAACTACAAAGGGTAACCAATTAAAAATAAAGACAAACCCTGAAATTTGGTATTATAGATGGTAATTAAACAGTAGCTATTGAATTATGGCCCTTACCCTCTTAATAGGATCGTCCTCTTGCTTTCCAAAGAAAATTGCCAGAACCAAGTGCTCAAGTCCAACCTCCTTATCACCTGCAAAATTTGCTCAAGTTTAAAATAACACATGAATATGTGCATAAACCTACTTCCTGCCACCAGACTTGATCAAGTTTCTCCAACCCAATTCAAACATAATTATGACTCAACTACGTTTGCAACTGATCATGTTAGTTTATTTCATTTTATGCCTCGAAAATTTATAGAACATATAATTATACAGCCATTTAGAATAAAGAAGAGGATATTTTACAAGATTCATAACATTCACATATTTTAAAAGATACAAAATATTCAATGGAATATTGAGGTCATTACAAAGATAAGAGATTTTACCAAGTCTGTCGGCTGCTATGCGCGATAACTTGTAAATGCTAAACATAGACAGTTTTGAATGTAATCCACCCGAACATCTTGGCCTGTCATTGAGCATCCTCACATTGTCACCAACTCTTGAAAAAGAGAGGCCAAACAAAATGTGTTGTATGTTAATGAAACATTGACATTGCATTCTTCTCTCATTTTCAGCAATGTTAATCACTCCACGAAGCTCGTCTGTACAAGGTCCGAAGCTCCCACGTGATATAGGAAATATGATAGCTTCCTGAAAATAGATCAACTGTAAAAAGGAAAACAAAAGCATTGGCATGTTGTCAGCATTCAAAAGAGTTATCAGGGCCTTGATTGAACCCTATGAAGCATGGCACATCGAAAAACAAGTCATACTAGTATGTTTTGGGGACTAGTACTTCCATTTTTTTATTTTTTATTTTTAACAATAACAAAACAATTTTATTAAAATAGAAAGTGAAAACAAGGGGAGGACAAGAAGTCCTCATACAAAGACAATAACTCAGCGCTAAAATCCAAAGAAGCGCCAACTAAAACATAAAACAAACCACCACTAGGTACAACAAATAGTATCCCAATCCCTAGTAATCAAAAAAAGAGATATGTCCTTGAAAGGAGGAGACACACTGGCCCAAACTAATGCAAAATGCCTCACCCTATCCCACAAAGCATTAACCTCTAATTCCTTTTCAAAAAAAATTCTATCATTTCTTTCCAACCAAATGTTCCAAAAGATAGCCAAGATAATGCACAACAATGTTTTGGTCTTCTATCACTAGTGTACTTCTATGTGTACCAAGTAGACAACACGTACTCAAATTTTTTTTCTTAATTTTTGTCATACTCAAAGGTAACTAGCATATACCTAGGTCATAACTCAACTAGAATAGGGTTGCAAACGAACAGAGACGAATCGAGCTTTGTTGGGCTCGAGTTCGCTTTTTTTGTTTATCGAGCTCGATTATCCAACTCGAGCTCGGCTCGGCTTGTTAATATTAGTTGGGGTAAATTACACTTTGCACCTCTACACTTTGCACCAAATCTCACTTTGGCCCTTACACATGAAATCATGACCATCAAGCCCTCGCACTTTTGGTCAATCCCACTTTGGTCTTTACACATGAAATCGTGACAATCAACCCCCTGCACTTTTGCTCAAATCCCACCTTGGTCACTACACAAGTATCAACGTCTCTCTTCTGTAACTTCATTTTTAAATCTTTAACAAAATCCAATCACGTGACAAAAACGTGAATACGAAATGAGAGTAAGAGAGGAAAATCATCCATGTTTCCTACCAATATACTTTGTCCTATGTGATAAGCGCGTGAGAGTTATATAATACAATATATATACATATATATTCGTATGCTAAAAATTGGAACGAAGAAGCAAGAAAATAAAGCTTTTAAAATAATAAAAAAATGTGCCAAATAGATCAAAGAGAAAGAAAGATGAATAGATAAAAGATTGTGTTATAGTGAAAACAGAGTTCCGGGATTCCAATTTATGCAAAACTTTAGCTCATCTTCTTAATCGTTCACAATATGCGTTTTGTTTTAGCCTAATATAGTCCTAATTTGATATAAATTTTGGGACAAAGTGTGTATTGGTGGAAAATGTAAATGATTTTCCTCTCTTACCCTCATGTTGTAATCATGTTCTTGTCACATGATTAGATTATGTTAAAGATTTAAACAATTGAGTAATAGAAAAGGGCATATTGACACTTGTGTAGGGACCAAAGTGAGATTTGACCAAAAATATAGGGGGTTGACCGTCAGAATTTCATGTGTAGGGACCAAAGTGAGATTTGGTCATAATTTCATGTGTAAGGCCAAAGTGGGATTTGATGCAAAGTGCAAGAGTGCAAAGTGTAATTTACCCTATTAGTTGAGTTCAAGCTCAGCTTGAAGACTGATAATTAATTTTTTTATTATTAAAAATTACATTATTTAAATATATAAATAATATATTTATATATTATTTAATAAAAAATTTAAATACAAATATTATTTATATTATTTTAAATATAAATAATGTATTAATTCTATTATTTATACATATTTTATACTATTTAATATATAAATAATATATTTATTTTATAATTTAAATTTAAATTAAAATAAACGAGCCAAACTTATTCGATCTCGAGTTCAAAACGAGCCTAAAGGTCAAGCTTAAGCTCGTTTATTAACTTAACGAATTGAACTAAGCCAAGCCCTCAACGAGTCGAGTCAAGCTAAGCCAAGCTCGCAAATTGCTCAATTCATTTGTAGCCCTAACTAGAATAGTATTTACTTTTGGGTTGATTAAATTTTTAGTCCGCAAAGCATGAGTCTTGTGTCATTTTGATCCTCAATGTTTAATTTGTGCCAATATTGTCTCCAATGTATAAAACGTAAGGCAAATTACATTACTAGTCCCTATATTTTACCCCTCGTATCATTTTGGTCCCTACACTTTCAAATCACTCAATTTTGACCATTAATTTTAGATTATGTCAATTTAGTTCTATTGATAATTCCGTTAGTGTTTTTGACGAAAAATTGATCACTAAATTGATTGATGTCAACTTATTGAGTTGAGCAAACTTATAATTTTGACCCTAAAATCATGATACATTCCACTTATGTGTGTATTTTCCACTAAAAAATGCTAACAGTTGTATTCAATTGACTAAATTGAGACAATTGTATATTCAAGGTTAAAATCGAGTCAATTGGAATTACGAGGACCAAAATGCAAGGACTGTTGGTGTAATTTGACCTAAAAAGTATTTCAATTTAGTTCCCAAATGTTTAAATTACATCTATTAATAGAGTTAGATTGGGAGACTAAATTGTGACACTTTTTACACATTATAAACCAGATTGATACAAAACATTGGGACTAAATTGAAACACTTTATACATTAGGGACTAAATTGACACAATTTAAACATTGGGGACCAAAATGACTCCTGCTTTGGGGACTAGAGATGTAATCAACCCTTTACTTTTAAGTGAAGTTAGTTTTATTGGATTTTTTTTTCTTAATTTTTGCCTCAAACAGAGGTACCTAGTATATATCCAAGTCATACTTCAACTAGAACCGTATTTACTTTTAGGTTGATTACATTTTTAGTCCCCAAAGGATAAGCCTTGTGTCATTTTGATCCGCTATGCTTAAATAATGTCAATCTGGTTCCCAATGTATAAAGAATGTTTCAATGTAGTACCCAAATGTTTAAATTGCATCTATTAACAAAGTTAGATTGGGAGAATAAATTGAAACACTTTTTATACATTATAGACCAAATTGATACAACTTTAACATTGGGAGCAAATTGAAACAGTTTTATACACTGGAAACTAAACTAACACAATTTAAACAATGGGGACCAAAATGACACAAGACTCCTACTTTGGGGACCAAAATTGTAATTAACCTTTTACTTTTTTGCAGAAGTAAAATGAGTTTTAATGGATTTTTTTATGCTTAGAATAATTTTAAAATTAAGCTTTAATTTGCAGATTCTTTAATATAATAAAAATTAAGTTTGGTTTACTCATGCCGTATCATACCAATGCATGTACACATGCTTCATGCATATTCAGACATATCACAACTGCTTGACCACATAATGCAACGAGCAAAGGGATCTAATGAACCAGTGACAAAAACCCTAGGACGCATGATTTGACTATATCATAAAAATAAAATAAATAACTACAGCTATTGGAACAAGAGAAATGGAAAAGCAAGAAAAATGATAAACAAAAGTACATAAAAATATATACGAACCACACATTGAATCGACCCAAATATGTGTATACTGATAGGGACATGAACTCAGGAAAATATGTAAAACAACAAATTGGTTGAAGCATAAATTGAAGAATAGTTAATGAGAGATTAGTTTTATTTAGGAATTTTAGTTATAATAGGAATTTGTATTTGTTGATCCTGTTCTTATTGGACAATGCCTATGACTATATATGTGTATATGGGTGGTGTGTAGTGAAAAGATACAATAAATTTGGCATTTATTTGTTATTGTTTATTATAATTAATTAACGATTTGTCTTCAAAAAATTAAGTAAACCCAATTTTTGACAAATGTCTTGATGATGCCTATAATCAAATGTCAGGAGGTGCTTATGATTTGTTATAAATATAGGAAGGGTATAAATCACATAGGAAGTGTAATATGGGGATAAAATATATTAGACATCATTTTGGCTGAGATCAGCAAAAATAGTATTGTTAGTAATGTCCGTAAGGTTTTAGGGTCTTGTTGATACACCTTCAAACTGTGGGGGTGTTTGTGTATTTTCATGAAAGATCAGGGGTGGGTAATTTTCACCAAACAATATATTGTTACATATATAACAAACCAAACCAAGCCTTTTAAGTCCCATCATTTTCTATATATTGTTACAAATATAGAAATAATAAAAATTTATTCATTTTCAATTTACAAATACATTTATATTTTATTATATCAAAATAATAAGAAACCATTTTTACATTCAATTCAATATTTTAAAAAACTAGGCAAGTTATGTTGACCTCCCTCGACATTTAAGAAAAATATGATAAGTAACGTAATGTAGCATAATTACCCTAGCCTCCAAACAGAGGTAACAAAATATAGATAAAATTAATATTTTCCCTTGACATACTTTGTGTTTAAAAGACAAATTGATCTCCAATACGAAATGAAAAAATCACCTCATAGACTTGACTTAGAACCCTAACCTAGACACTTTACAATCCTAACATTAACCTAACAGCATGGATGTAAGTTTTATGAAAATACAAAACTTAGGGAGGTTAATCTAATTATGTCAAATTGTTTGGCTTGATGTAGTGTGATTATTCCTAAGAAATAAGTGCGAACAAAAAAAAAATCCCAAACATCTAATTTAGAAAGATTTACTACAAAATAAATTAGAAACTTCAGGATTTAGAAATCCTAAAACTAAAAAGTCCAGAAAGAAAGAATAGGCACCCGTCCACATTATATTTATATTATCATTTGACCCTAAGTATTTTTTTTTAATTTTTTTTTTATAAATGATCCTAAGTTAATTTCTTTGAACTTAAAATGTGTTTCATGTTTGTCTAGGTGATGATACATGTGTCGCAAGGGTGTTAAACTTGTTAAGTTCTAAAAAACTTTAAAAAACAATAGGGTAAATTACACTAACCACCCTTGATGTTTAGAAAAATACAATAAACCCCACAAGTTTGGTTTTAGTAAGGCTAAAAGGACTGGAACTATGTACATGGCGTGAACAAATAGGAATAACCATGGTAAAATATACATTTCAATGTAAAAGTCTAAAAGATACAAAATCGTTTTCTATTCATGCGATTAACCAATTATTGATAAAAATGGGGCTAAGTGTTCAAGTGAATTAAAACCTAAAAGAAGCCCAATGTAATTAGGCCGAACTTGTGGGCTCAATGTATTTTCCCTAAACCTCAAGGGAGGTTAGTGTAATTTACCAAAAATAATAGACACATTAGGACACATGTCCGATACGGACACCTTCTTATAAATGTTTGTGCTTCTTAGGAAATAAAGAGAGGCCACTTCATCACTCAATAAATTAAGAGGAAAAGGGGAACAGAGAAAGAGATGGCAATACCGCATCTCCTTTGAAATCAGACAAGACATAGAGCCCGTCGATTATGCCATTAGCAAAATCATAGAGCATGGTTTTTGTATCCTCAGCTATTGACTCATCAGATGATACGTCATCAACAAATCTATGTAACTCTTGAATCTTGACGTCCTTCACAGCCTCTAAAGTCAAATTATCAAGAATATGATAACATTTTGGACGAGACAACTCCAAGGTAAGCTGCATTTTACAGTCTTCCTGGTTTCCAACACAAAAATAGCAATGATGATGATGATAACAAAATAAGGTCACCTATTCAGAAAGAAAAACATAGTCCAATATAAAATATATATGCATGGATAACATATCAGACCTTTGATTGAAATTGATCATTTACATTTCAAGTATTGATCATAAAGAAAGAAGGGAAAAAAAAATGAAAAATGAAAAAGAAAAAAGGAAGTACTATAGGATTAAAAAATAAGATTTAAATGAAGAAACTAGAGTGTGACTGAAAAAATTGCTTCAAATTGAAGCCTTCAATGACTAAATTGTGAATACTCTTGCAAATAAAAATGTGGGAAGTGAATGAATGCTGATCATTCATCTACTTTTAACAAATGATCAGTGTTAAGAACACGACACACATCATGTTGAAGCTGCAACCCATGTTAGCATAAATAATCAGATTAGACAAGCACTAGCAGCACATCAGATTAGGCCAGCAAACCATGATTTTAGAGAACAAAACTTGAGTGATCATTCAGCTGTTACATTTAGTCTGAAGAACTAAGTTGAGGAAAATAACTTTAAAAGAAAATGCCATGCAGTAGTGATGAATTTAGTCAAGAAGACAAAAACATCAAGCTCTTACCTTTAAAGGCACATACTTCAACACCTCCCTCATTGCACTTATTATGTCAGACTGGCTAATATCATCCCACTACATCCATAAAAATTATTAATCAACTCAGCATGATTCAGTAAACCATCATTGGTGAATGAATTCTCACAACAGTGCAAAATAGTAGCAACCATAATATTTGGACAATATTATGACACAAACTGAAGAAAGGAAATACCTTATCAGGGACAAAAGGAAAGGCCCACGGATAAACCTACAACAAAAGGTATGAAGACAAAATTAAACTTCCTCATAACAAAACTCAATCTAAAAATAAATAAGGAAAGAAAGAAAGAAAGAAAAAATAAATAAAGCTATACGGGCAATCATATGGACACTTGCCAATGGTAAGAGTAGCAATAAAGTCATTACGACAATGACAATGCTGCCAAAACATCTCCGTCTACAAAGGGTGAAAATAATTCCCAACTGACCCAAAATTTTTAGGGCATTAGAACACATTTATTTATTTTTACGAGTAAGAGTAACTTTATTAGAAAAGGAGCATCAAGACGATGCTAACAAATACAACCCACACCACAAGCTAGAACACACATGCGATTGGGAAAACACACATTGTTATCATGCATGAGCTAGAAGACACAATTATGAAATTTATGACATATAAAAGGCTCTCAAATGATACAAATATGTAGAGTCACACCACGCTAAAATTGTGCAAACGACAAATTTTATTTGTTTAAAAAACGTATGATAGAACTTGGGAGGTGAGCATTACCTCTTCTAGTTGTCCATTCAACTACATTGTTGAGCTCCCCTTTATGGGATACTTCAGAAATTCCCCAAATGGATTGTAACAATCAAGTAGAAATTATTGATCAAGGAATTTGCAAGTACGAGGAAAGTGATATTGTTCTGGTAGAAAATTCAAAAGTCCAAGAAGCACTGAAGGACAAAAAAATTACGTGCGCAACATCATTTTATCAAAAGATCTTCACGAACATGAAAATGCATTACAATTGTTTGATTCTATTGACCAATGTTCTTAAACACAGAAATGGCCAAACTAGAATTAGGATCTAGTCAAGGATCACCGATTCAACTAAAATCAAGCCATGAAGTCATAATTATAATTTTGACATACAAATATGAAAAATTATACTTAATTAAAATATAAAGGTATTAAGATAGATTCATTTAAATTAATTTTTATATTTTAAGATACATATATATTTACATGAATATATTTATTGAATATAATTGCCTATACATTTATATTTTATATACTGATTATTTACAAAAATAAGAAGTCAAAAAAATATAATAAAAAATCAATTGTACTTGATGTTTGAAAGAAAATGCAATAAATAATATAAGGTAGCGTTTGGTAGAGTTTTAGAATTATGATTTGAGAATAGAGTTGTATTTTGACTTTGTGAGTTTTAGAATTATGATTTGAAAAGAGAAAATTTGTTTGGTTATGAGTTTTGAAAAGAGTTTTGAATTTTTGATGTGATATATGAAATTAGAAAAGTTGTTTGATTCAAAAACTTACAACTCATAACCAAACACACAACTCAAAATTCTATTCAAAGCTCAAAAAAAATTTAAAATTCCGAAAATATTTTTTATTTAAAATATAAAAATAACAGGTGCCAATTCCCCCCCCCCAAAAAAAAAAAAACAAACAAACAAACACTGTTGCGGTCAACCGGCCGGACGTCCGGGAAGATGACCGGGTAGACGTGTTTTCAAAAGTGGGTGTGGAATCAATTTTTAACCAAACACAGTACTTAAACCAAGCTGTAGAATCACGTTTCCAAAGCTCCACCAAACACAGCCTTAGTTTTCGTAATATCAACAAAGGGACATTGTGGTATAGTGGTTAAAAGTGAGACCACTATCCATGGGGTTGTGTTTGAGCCACCCTAAATGTTGACTTTTACGAAGTTTCGCTTGGCAGCTGGTAGGCCCATGTGTTAGGATCATTGGATTGCCTCAACCAGTTTTCTTGACCCAGCTACCAGTTCGAACTGGTAGCCAATTCAACCGTAGTTCTTACCAGTTGTCAATGGATTGATTGTTTATCCAGACAAAATCCTAAATCCATCAATGGGTGAATCGGTCGAATCAACCAATCTAGTCCCATTTTAATAAAACCACTGCTACTGATGCGGCTCCAACTAAAAGGATTGATTTTATTGGTATCTAAAATTGCCTTTGTGTATTAAATCCAGGTTTGGTGGACCTCGTAAACAACAACACAACCACAGTTTTCAATAAAATTTTCTAAAAACAGCCCGCTTTTTAGTAAACACCAAAAAAATATTTTGGAATTTTCGAACACTGTTTGTATACAACAATGAAAACAAAGCAAGTTTTTTAATTTTTAATTGTTCAGAATACTTCCATGAATGATAAAGGTATCCAGGGGAAAGACACGGCATTCGACAACAGCTTTCCGTTCTCAAAGCTAAGTTTGCAAGAGCCTTTTTAAAAGCATGAGTTACAGGAGCTTTAATGAAAACCTTGAACATGATCCAACATCGAGTCCTAGCTTGTGTTACATGAACTCTTCCACTTTGCCGAAATATATCCATGCCCACTGGATATGACTCAAGCACATAGAGGCAGGCAAAGCCTTAAATCTCAAATTCAAGAATACAGTAAAAATTGTCTTTGGGAATATGCACATATTTCAAAAGACGAGAGAAAAACTCATCTGCTTAACAATATTCATGAACGTTATAAATAGAAGAAAAACTGAGAATATAAATTTACCCAAAAGCCACTTTTGGCTGGCCGTTGAATTTGAGAAATTGAATGCAGGTGGCATCCCCTACTAATCCCTTTTCTTAATGACTTCACATATTGAGAAGATAAATTATAGAGATTCTAAACTGTGTGGACAACAGCGATTCTAAATCCATCTCCAACAACATATTCTTTTTCTTTTTTATCAGCAACAAAATGAACTTTTATTAAAAAGAGAAAAAATAAAGAGGTTTACAAGAAGGACCACAAAACACTAATTTCCAAAACAGAAATCTATGGAGGAAAACACTGATTTCCAATCACTAAAGATCAAGAAAAGCGGAATCCCTTTAAACGGGGGAGCCACTGAAGCCGAAAAAGATGCCAAATCTAACCATTTCCCACAAAGAGGTTACATCAACACTTTCATCTTCAAAGATTCTCACATTTCTTTCCAGCTAGATAACCCAAAAAATTGCCAATGCAGCGCGCAAAGCCCCAACATCTTCGCCTTTTTATTGTTGCCCAAAACTCAAAAATCAATTAAGAGCATGGATTTGCTTGCTTTGGGAGCCACCCATGCAAGTTCACCCAGAGAAAGAACAGCTGCTACATCCACCTTGCCACTGGACAGTGTAAAAATAGATGATTCAAAGTATCCCCATTGCCCTGACACATGATACACCATTGAGGACAAAGCTAGCAATTAGGGCTCATTTTTTCTAAAAATATCATTCGTCAAAATGCTTACATGAACCCAAGACCACATAAAAAACTAAGGCGCAAAAAACTTCCAAATTCTTTAGTGAAAAGGAAAGAATGAAACAGTTGGGTTCTCAATAATCTTATCAAAAAAAGATTTGCAAGAAAAGACACTTGAAGAATGAAAGAGTCACATCTGTTTACCACTTGCGTTACGGTCCAAAGGCAAATGGTCAATAAGAAACAACAAAGAAGCTAAATCGCCAACCTCCCTTTTAGTAAGATTTCTTGAGAAACTAAAGTTCCAAGCAATCAAAGCCAAATTAGAGCTTGCCAAAGAAGTGATGGAAGAATGATAAAGAGTTTGCTACCTATAAAGACGCAGGAAGTACACATCAATAGAAGAGTTTTGAGTCCAAATATCCTCCCATAAATGAATTTTTTCGCCATTTCCCACCCTCAAATAAAGAAATCTAGAAAAAAGAGGGAAAACATGAGAGATTGATTTTCAATGCGATAGACAATTACCCCTAATGACCACTCAAGAAAACCTACTATCATCTTGAACCCCATACTTGCTTTTAATAATAGAATGCCATAATGAATCACTCTCCAATGGAAATCTCCATAACCACTTACCAAGAATGGCAATATTCCTCGCTGCAGTGTTGCCAAATTGCTAGACCCCCTTTTTCCTTAGACAATGAAACAATCTCCTAATTAACCAAGTGCACCTTCTTACCTTCATCCTTTCATTCCCATAGGAAATCCTTCATCAAGTTTTCCATTGTTTTTGCAATCCTGACCGGAATCTTGAAAAGGGACAGAAAGTAGATATTCACCACTCAGAATGAAATGAATCAACGTGTACCTCCAACCTTTCGAAAGCAAAGCTCTCTTCCAACCCTCCAATCTCTTACATATCTTTTCAACAACCGGAAGCCAAAATGCCTCATTCCTAGGTTTACCCCGTAAAGATTCTCAATGGAACACCCTAGAATGCCTGCCAACCTCTAAACTTGACTTTGTCGCAAATTAATACCCACTACACTGCTCTTGTTCAAATTGACCTTAAGACTCGAAACGACCTCAAAAACTCTTAAAAGAGATCAAAAACAACCCACCGTGCTCTCCTGCCTTGATGAAAAAAATATGGTGTCATCCGCATACTGAAGATGAGACAAACTCTATCCCTCCCAAACCCCTCCACTAAACATAAATATCTAGCGCCATCAACCAACACATCTACCACCAGAATAAAGGGGAAAGGAAATAAAGGATCACCCAGCCTTAAACCTCTACTAGCCCCCTAAAAGAATTCCCAAGTTCCCCATTAACAATAATTGACATGTCGCAAGTTGACAGCCACCCTCAAATCCATTTTCTCCATCTCTCTCCAAAACCCTTTCTATGCATTACAAAATCCAAAAAATGCCAATCCACATGGTCATATGCGTTCTTAAAATCAACTTTGAAAATGATACCCTCATTTCCTCATAGTTTGGTACTTCTCCACCACTTCATTTGCTACCAAGGCACCATCCAAAATCTGACACCCCTTAACAAAGGCTCCTTGAACCGAAGAAACAGTATCCCCCAAAGTCACTCTTAGTCTTTCTGATAGTACCTTTACCAAAATCTTATAGAGATGAGACCAAACTTATAGGTCTAAAATCATTGAGTTTCATTGAATTCTCTTTTTTATGGATCAAACATATGAATGGCACAGTTCTACAAAAATTAACAATCCCCTTTTCGTGAAATTTTGCAAAACTCTCACTAAATCTCTTCACCACCTCCCAACAATCTTAAAAAATTGCCATGGAAAAACCATCTAGCCCTAGGATTTTGTCTCTTTCACATACAAAAACTGCCTCTTTAATTTCCATTTCTCAAAAGGCCTTTCTAACCACCTTGTATTTACCTCATCAATCGGCGACCACTCAAGACCTTCAATCTTAGGTCGTACTAAACCCCCCCCTTTCCTTCCCCTCCAATCCGAATAAAGGTTTGAATAAAACCTAAAAATCTCGCTGATAATGTGATCGTCTTCATCGACCATCATCCCTTGCCCCATCTCTAAACTTTTTATGAACTTCCTTTTCCTTTTTCCATCCACAACCCTATGAAAGAACTTGGAATTAAGATCTCCATCCTTGAGCCATTTTAGTTTTGCCTTTTGAGCCCAAGAAATTTGTTCCCTAAGAGCTATGAAGCACGGGTAGTCCAAAAATAGTGCCGTACATGCACCGGGTACTTACTGGGTGCGGGTACGGGTACTTACTGGGTGCGGGTACGTGTACCGGTACGGCTGCATGCGTACCGGGTACGGCAAAAAGTAGTCGGGTACTTCTGCCTCAGTTGGGTACAGCATAGGGGTGCGGCTCGGGTACAGCATGGGTACGCCTTTGGTGCGTTTTGGGTACAGCGGGGACAGAAATCAAATTTTCTGAAAAATTTAGGGGTACCGGAGCAATATTAAGAAAAATTTTGAAAAAAAGAAAAAAGAAATAATGTGTATTCAAATGCCCTAATCTCATCACTTTTTTGCCCTAATCTCAATCTTATCGAAGCAAAGAGAAAGAGGCGACTTCGACCATCTCCATCACCCTCTTCTGCGACTTCGAAACAGAGATTGACTTCGACCTTCACCCTCATCTTCAACCCTCACCCTCGTCTGCGACTTTGAAACAGAGATCGACTTCGACCCTCACTCACCCTCGTCTTCGACTTCGACTTCGACTTCGACCCAAAGATTCGACCCTCGTCTTCGACTTCAATTCGACTTCGACCCAGATATCGACTTCGACCCTCGGCTTTGGCTTCGACTTCGACTTCGACGCAGAGATCACCCTCCTCTTCGACTTCGACCCACGGCATCAGAGGTATATCTCTTCTTCAGCTTTATAAATAATCAAAAATGGTAATGATCATAAATATTATTATTAGTTATTAATAATAAAAAATTACTTCATCTTTATTTATTTTATTTTTTTTTCTTGTTTCTTCTTTAGTTATTAATACTGAAAATGCTAATAAATATTAATAATAAATATTAGAGATGAAAATGCTAATAATCATAAATGGTAATAATAAAAAATATTATAGTTTTTAGTTTTGATATTTAACTTCAATTTGTAGGTTGGATCTTTTAACCATAATTATAAAAATAAATAAATAAATAAATATCGGCGTACCGTAGCCGTACCCGTACCCTACTTTTTTGGGATTTTGCCGTATCGGCGTACCCGTACTCGTACCCGTACCGTACTCGTACCCGCACCCGTGCTTCTTAGCCTAAGAGTGACCTCCTCCATCCTTGATTTCAGCTCATTTCTCTCTCTTCTCAAAACATTATCCAACCCTACACTAACCTCGACAGCATCTACCTCTTCAATTCTACCTATGTTCCCCCTTTCAATAGTTATTTCCAACAACATAACTATTGCCTAGTGTATTTTCCCCCTGCAATTGGAAGGGGGAGCATAGGTAAAATTACTCTAAAAAGTGTCTGCCTAAGCACATTGTGTCCAGTTTCAGTGACAGTTGTGGAGCCAACCCTTCCTTTCTAGCTGACCCCAAATTCCCAATTTGTTAGTATCTAAAGGCCATCCAAACATCCATTGAGAAAATTGAAAGCAAGTGACTAATTTCTTAACATACAATCAACAAACAAAACCAACTTGAATTATCAAGAAGATCATTCAAGATTGCAATTGTTTCATAACCTAGAAAACAAAGTTACAGTAAAAATTACCTCAAAGCCTTTGTTTTCAGCACAACCTTGACATTGCTACATAAAGACAATTTAGTCACATGAGAAACACACAAAATAACTAGTATTAAGACCACAGCTAGCCCATGATTGAATGAATCTTGCCTGTATTATGTCACAAATATCATGTTCCCTTAGTGTGGAAAATTTTTCAACTTTCACCTTTCCCTCAGCAACAGCTACACAAGGATCGCAGTGAGCCTGCACATGGAAAAAGGAATTTAACAGTGAAAGAAAATAACAGGTGAACAACAAAAACAAAACCAAAACAAAAAAAAAAAAGGCTTCATGTTAAAAGCGAAAGTTATCTGTATATACAAATCCTTACATGGCATAGGTTTGAATAGTATGTTGAACACTCATCCTTGACGATACTCAGTTCATATATTCTCTCAAAATCTTCCTGGAATAAGCCAAAAAAATTGAAAATAAGGACAATTGAAGCATGTTAACAATTCACCTCATAAATGCTTGTGCAAAGTGAAACAAATTAGGAGAAACACCACAACTGCAGGTACAAAAATCAGGTTAATAAAAATATATTAGAAGATACGTATATGATGACAAAATACATGAGTGATGCATGTAAAAGAGAATAATCACATACTAGTGCGTAAAGCAAGGGAAAAGTTATCCACCAGCAACCGGCAATGATTAGGTATGCAGTTCTGGCAGTTGAACATAACTTACCCCAACTCAGCCCATTATATTTTAGGGCGTGGACTTTCTTTTTAGTCTTCAGGCAACGGATGGGGCAACATTAATTCAGGCCAAATTAATTTTCAATATAATTTTCTTACCCTTGTCCAATAAAATTTGACAAAAAATAATCTACATACAATATGCAAAATTGATTAGCCAAGAATACTGGGGCTTGTCACACCAAATCACCCCTCCATCATCAACCTATATAGCCCATTGTTTTCTAAAATCACTATTCCCATTCATCTCCTCCCCACCATGATGACAAATCGAAACACACCCTCAAACAACCCACCACCATTGGGACCACTCCACTTCCTCTCAACCTCATATCCACCATTACCAACACCGAGTCAAACCATTGATATTGCTCAACCATCAGAGATGCCACTTCATCGAACCCATCACCAAACAACAATGCTACATACCAAGAAAAACTATCCAGAATAGTACACCTATCGACCAAATTCATTGGAAGTGTGACCCACATCCCACTAATTTTAAATCTACACCATCCACTTCATTTTTAGTGTAAACTTTCATGGTCCCTAGCATTTTATACCATATCACAAAAGACAACCTCGTGCCATACTTTTTCTATGTTGATATGATATGGATATCAACCTAGCTTTTGGCAACAACCAACCCACACATGCCTAATCTTAATATCACTGCCACCATTTCACACTATCTGCCCATTAAAAGATGTGTAATTCTCTTAGGTTGAACATATTTTTTTGCTAAATAAACTATTTTTCAATAGTTAATTGATCTCTCCATCAATCTTAAAGACACTTCATTATTTGAATCAACACACATTAAGTCAAGAATGCCTTGTCAACTCTAAAGACTAAACTCTTATCAGTACTCATTCATAAACAAGCTCATCCATATCCACAGAGTGTAACAAATCACTATCAAATCCATAAGCTGTTCAACATAAAGATGAGACTGTAGTAAAGATTAAAACACAGAATATTGATGCAGAACTCTAATACTACTACTAAAACCAATAGCCACAGAGAATTGACCACGCGTACATGAAGGAAGAATTTACCATATCAAAAACGCTCAACACAAATCTAATGACAACATTAAAATAACTTTCGCGAACGATATTGTAAGCACTCTCTGGGAGTAGTTTTTCCAAAGTACAGAAACCAACATAAGACATCGCCTGTAAGGTTAATGCTGCAACAGCCTTTGCAATCATGAACAGCCAATTGGAATCTCCTCCTTCCATTGCTGAGGACTGAAATGCCTAAAAAAAGAATTGATAAATTCAGATACTGAAGAGCTAATGCACAGAAAACAAGCTGCCTTACAGCAAAAAAAAAATGTTTGTATCAAACGCTATTATTATATGTATATATTGTTGTATAATTGCCAAAAAAACATAATAAAATGCCCCTTTGACATTGTATGTTACATAGAAAACCAATTTATAAAATGCCCTATTGATGGGTCTGACCTAAGTCACCAAATTGCCAAGCGGGAGCAAGAGCGGGAGCTGGAGCAAGATTTGAGGGTGTTAGCATTGATGGAACTAAAAAATATAAGTTCTATCGTCAACTAAGGAAGTTTGATGTGGATTTTGCACTAAAGAATATGAAATCAAGAAAGGCATTAGGACTAGATTATATACCTATTGAGACTTGGAAATGTGAGGGAAGAAGGAGGTGGTTTCGTAACCAAATTATTAAAAAATATTTTAGAACCTATATATGAAAATAAAAGATGTCTAAAATTGAAATAACTATAGAGCTATTAAGTTGATGAGTCATACAATGAAATTGTGAGAGTGATAAGCATCACCTAAGAGTTACAATAAAAGTGTCGAATTATTAGTTTGGATTCATGCCCTATAGATCAACAATGAAAGCAACATATTTACTAAGAAATTTAATAGAGAAGAACTCAGAGTAAGTTCTGCATAGATTTAGCAAAAGTTTATGAAATGGTCTTAGAGATATAATATGGTAGATGTTAAGAGAAAATATGTTATCAAAGGGCATGGGCAGAGCCATGAGTTCAACATTGGAGGGGCCAAAACCTACAATATTGAATGCCATGCTAGGGCGAAGTGGGGTTTTAATGGGTCGTGTTGACTTTGCAATAAATTTTAATTTATTTAATAATAATTAACATTATTCAATGTGCTGTACTCAAGGTTGTTAAAATCGGGATCCTAGTTAGGTTCGGTGAGTGGGTTTCGAGGATTGTAAGATCCTACTTTTGATTAAAATAAGGTAACAACACAAATTAGAATTATATATATTAAAAATAAGGTGAAAAATCACAAAATCAACGATCCTACTTCCGATCCTACCTACAATCTTGCACGATTCCATACAATCTTACTTGCGATCCTATTATAACACCGATACGACAACAATCTAGATTATTTTAGCAATGTTGGATTGTAGGATCGTACAATCCAGATCGCAATTTTAACCACTATGGTTGTACTACACATTTAAGCACACGAATGCTAATCCAATAAATAATATCAATATATCAAATTTCATAATTTTTTTTAAATGATTAAAGAAAATAAAACAATGGTGTTTCTATAATCTTGTATATCCACTAATGAATTGAAGAAAAAAATATATAGTGGGAAGCCAAGAAGCTCAGACACATGTAAAAGGGTGCCATGTCTATGTCAGACACCAACACTCTCAAACAAGTGTCTATACTCCTTTCTCCCTGTCCTTAATTAAAAATACAAACCTAAATATTGGACGCGTCTGACACTCATTTTGTGGCGTGCTTGTCACTTTTTGGACATTTGCTAACATATAATTTTCAAAGTCAGAAAATTTAACATAAATATCTTTTATCCTTAAAAAAAAATTATAATTATCAAAGTATATAAAATAAATTACGAAACTCAGGTGTTTGACCTCTCACAAGGCGAGGCACAAACCTTAAAGCATTGAGGCGTATAGAGACCCCGGTCTTTTCCCATTTGATTATTGTATCCGGACTGAGGTTCCGTAGATTCTGTCATTGTATAATTGTTGTTGTTGTCCCTTATTTTTTTTCTCATTTGGAATTATAGGATGTGTTGGGCAGGTTTGTTCCAGGTTGGTTGGGTTTAGAAACCAAGAGTTGCTGTCCAGGTTTTTGGTTCTTCGCTCGAGCGAGGAGTTGTTCGCTCGAGCGAGAGGTAGTGTTTGATTTGGACCTGTAGCTGTGCATTCTTGGCTCGAGCGAGCTTTTCTTCGCTCGAGCGAGTTAGTTCATCCTTCGCTCGAGCTATAGTTCCTTCGCTCGAGCGTGTGTCTGGGTTCAGACCTGAGGGTATGAGTTCTTCGCTCGACCGAGCTTTCTTTCGCTCGAGCGAGATTTTGAGTTGTTGGCTCGAGCAAGGCTTCCTTGGCTCGAGCGTAGTTTCTCTGTGTCTGGTCGCTCGAGCGATACATACACAATACATACACCATTAGAGCTGATTCTTAAACCTTTTTGTTGAACTTTCAAAGCTAATTTCAGAAACTTGAGGGTGTTGAAATCAAGTTTGTTAACTAAGGGTTTACCTCTCTTTTCAAAAGGTATAATGTTGCACCTTCTTCTTTAATCTTCTTTTGCTCTTTTCCTTTATTTTTCTTGTCTTTATATACTAATTTTTAGAGTTTGAAAAGGCTGAAAAATGTAATTTAAAAGTTCCAAAAGTGGAGGGGTTAGCCACCCCTCCTTAGTCTTGCTGAGTAGTTTTGCATGTCTTTGTTTTTCCCTATCTTTTGTGCTCTTTTAACATGATTTTAGCCACTATTTTTGGGCTGTTTTTGGGCTGTTTTTGAACTATTTTAAAAGGCTAAAAGTTGTGATTGAAGTTGTAAACAGTGGAGGGGTTAGCCACCCTTCCTTAGGCTTGCTTACTAGCTTTGTTCTCCTTAATCTTTGCTTACTTTTTCTAGCTTTTCAAACTATTTTCAGCTTGTTTTTGGGACTGTTTTGTCACTGTTTTTATTTTATGAAGTGTTTTGATTTGAGCTTGAGTCTCATTTGTTTGTTGACATTGGAAGAATGTGAATATGATATATATATAATTCACTATTGTAAGTTTGGCCAGGTTCTGAGCCATATTGATAATGTTGGAAAGTAAAACATGTCTTAGGCATTAGTGTCATGAAACTGTATAATGATGTAATTGATTATCTTGGTTAACCATCTATTGAATGCTATTGCTTTATTCAATGCTTATATTTGGTTTAGTATATTTCTACTGGGCTGTGGCTCACCCTTTATGGGAACATCATTTTCAAGTTCAGGTGAAAAGCTACCTCCAAGGACTTAGCTTGGGAGGGCTTGGCTTCTGGAATTTTTGAAGAAGACTATCTTAGTTAATTGTCTTTATTTATTAGTACATGTAAACATTCAAGCCTAGGGCTTTCCTTGTATTGAGTTAGAACTCATATTTTTGTATCCAAGTGTTGGCTTGGAAAGATGTAAGCCTGTAGGGCATTTAATTTGATGTTATATGTAATGTTTTCGTTTAGTAATACTCTGATGAATGAATTAATAAATTGTTTTCTTTGAATAATGCATGTCAATGAAATGTATATAATGGGTTTATTTTGAGGGCGTTACAAGGCGTAAGCATTTCGAATTTTAAATTTCAATATTTAGTAAATAAATAAAATATTTTAAATAGTAAATAAATAAATAAAAATTAAATGAGTGTAAATACTTTTCTCCTCAAGTTATTGAACATTTCAATGCACAGAAGGAAGCTTGCTTTCACTGAAAGTGAATTTGACATTATTGACTCTAGTGATTGAATTTCTCACTTGAGCATTAACTTTGTATTTTTTCTTAATTGATCATTTACTCCTACTATAGAAGACAATTGCAAAAAGGAATCTTTTTTTAATTTTTTCCTTTATATGCTTAAACCATCTACTAGACTATGTTTAACAAGAGCCTAAGGCAACCTTTTCAAGCTTGTAATCCTCATATGCACGTACACATGCCTCATACTATGATGTGAAAGTCTTTGGGGAGTATAACTTAAAACTCAAAGCCTTGATGCATTTTATTTTACCTAGCCTCTCAAGGCGAGGAGAGGTGAGTATCGAGGCAAGCCTCAGTAAAGCCTTTTAAAACTTTGATAATTATTAAGAATAATCCTAAAAAAACTTCCCAAAAATTAAATTGAAAAAGTTACGTAAAAGTATTAGTAGATGGCTAAGGCGGATAAGGCAAATGTCATAATTATATATCATATATATGTTTGCTATAGTCCAAAAATTCATGCAAGAGAACTAGATACGTGATTATTTCTTATAAAATAATTATTTAACTTAATATATATTATGCACATTCATAGATAACTATATAATATATTCCTAGACAATATAATATCAAGATATAATTATTTGTGGCGTGACCCAAACTAGTTTTACAAATTTTCTGTATCGATGTGTTTTTGTCATGTTGTATCAGTGTCTATGCTACATAGGTGAGGAGAAACAATGTAGAGAGAGAAAGTGGAGAGAGAGTATACCAAGTAAAGATGAAGAAGAAACTAGGTGAGTGAGTATTCTATTGGAGAGAATTAGCTAGTAGACCAAGCAAAGTACAAAAGCCAAGAGACTTTGAGCGTGAAAACAGTTTCTGACATGAGATTTGGAATTGCCTTGTTACAAAATTACCCTAATCAAAATGAAGTTAAAATTTTTTATGATGTTATTTATCAAAAAAATAATAATAATTTATTTATGATGTTATGTAATACTACGAGGCAATGAATATAGTTGTCAATAAACAAGTGAAGTTCAGAATCATGTAAAATGTGACTAAAGAGACTAACCTTTTTAAAAATTTAAAATTCAAAATTTTAAGTGATGCTGTGACAACCAATTTCAGGTTGGGGGGCCAACTTTACTAGCCAACTAAACATCAATCCAGTCCACGTATTTATGTAAATGATAAAAAGTTCACTGTCAAAGGGTATTTTATTGCAATAAAAGACTTTGGGTTACAATTACAATTAGATCACCTGCCGGATAACAAGTGGATTCTAAAGCACTACAGGATTGCATTAAGGGTCAATTTGAGTCTTCACCTATTTGCCTAAATCATGGATGAATTTTTTAAACACATTAAAAATGATGTCCCATGGTGTATGTTGTACCAGATGATATTTTTTTAGTGGATCAAACTTAAGGAAGGAATTAAACCTAAATAGAAATCTTGAGAGAAACACTCAAGTCAAAAGGTTGAAATTAATATATCTAAAACCGAATATATGGAATGCAACTTTGATAACAATAGAAGTAAAATAGAGGCAAAAAGAACGAGTGAACATTTTCATAAGCTAGGATCAATTTATTAATAAAGACAGAATGGTTAGAGATGATTTAAACCAGAAAATCAAAGTACGTTGGTTCGAGAGTGCTACCGACTTGTTATGTGATCAACGAATACCAACAAATTGAAAAGAAACTTTATAAAACATCTATAAGATAAGCAATGTTTCACGGGACAAAATTAAGAAACAACACATTCATAAAATGAACGTAGATGAGGATGTTTAGATTGATGTGTGGTAAGACTAGAAAAGATAGACTTAGAAATAATATATTCGTAAAAAGCAAGAATAAGCACCAATTAAAGATAAAGTTGAGAGAAAACAAATTAAGATAGTTTGGTTATGTACAACAAATATTTTTAAATGCAATGATAAGGAATATTAATAAGATCACCATAAATGAAAATGTATGAGAGAAAGGATGACCTCAACTGACATGAAACCAGGAAGTAAAGAACGGATGTGAATTTATTTAATTAATTGAGCACATACACCATGATAGAGCGAGGAATGGCAAAAAAAAAAGGGATTTGCATGGCCTGCTCCACATAATTGTGACACAAGGCTTAGTTAGGTTTGGTTTGATTATGTTTTTCTGAAAAGAAATAAGTTACCAGAAGTGATTATCAAATTACATCATGATCTAGAACTTCATAATGTCAAAACTAAAGAGGAAATGAAACAAAACCATAATATTCCTCATGATCATAAATTAGAATTCAAAATAAATATAATATTTCCATCTTATAATCAAAACCAAAGTATATTGCATTCATAACAATTGCAATCAATCTACTCTTGCAATAGTTCGCTTAGGGGATGAAAGATTCTAATACCTCATAGGCTTCCCTTTCTCTGTCACAGTAATAATCCTTAGGCCTGCCCTTCCTAAAACTCTAAAATAGCAATAAAAGAAGTCAGAAGCACCTAATGAAAGTTAGGTTGCAGCGAAACTATTAATAAGAAACTAATGGAAAAATGAATAATTTACCAACCAAGTCATCAAATGGCTATCTTCTTCCTTTTTCCGATAAGGTTGCAACAACAAATAGACCTGTCTAGTTATGCTGTCTCTCCATTCAGTCTTTGATATTTCACTGTCCTTTCGTTTTCCAAGAAGGATCTCACATTCTTCAAGTGACATCACCTAAAAAAAGTCAGAGACGCCAAGAGAGAAAGAGAGGGAGGGAGGGAGTGAGAGAAGATGAAATTCTCATACAGGGAATATATTCAACACTCTACAATGAACCAATACCCTTGCTATATCTTCTTTTTCTGGAACGTTTGTACCATAAATATCTCGATTAACTACTTGGTGAGCCTTCTCTCGTTTAGACACAATTAGAGCAGCATCCCTGTTTTAGGATTGAGTATATAAAAACAGTTGAACAAGAGTGAAACTTAATCCTCAAAACTCCACAATTATAAGCATTGTTTCAGTTGCAACATTACTAAAGGCTCTCAAGAGGTCAATTCACTTGTCTTGAATCATGACAACCCTTTTTTCTAACTTCAAGCTATATGTATTATGTACATTCCTTTATTGGCAAAACAAATAGATCAACCCAACTCATTCGTGAACAAGCAGAGATGACATTAACGTATGAGTTTAATGGGTAGTCATTTCCCCAAGAACTACTAACCCAATCAAAATAAGCAAATATGAAACCACTGAGCTAATAATTGAACATAAACTAAGATTCTATTAATGCCTAAAAAAAAAAAAATTTTAAAAAAGCACCATCCAAACTAATTGTCCCATTTCTTGTACAAACCAGACGATGCATATCATAATCACAAGAAATAATATGTAAACACATGTGGAGCAAATCACATTCCAATACCAAATTTGGAATAACTTGTAATGGTATCACAAATTGTAAAGATCACAACCATTCATGTTCTGTTTTGATTTTATAACTAGATTCAGCATCATTCTCAATTGTTCCATATTGTATCCTTGCAAACAAAATTAGAAATAACTATGGCCATTTCTATCTATTTAATATTTGTACGCCGTAACTTATGTAATAGCATTGCAGAGAATGACACTAGTCTTCTACATTTCTCAAATTCATGCTCTTACTATGGTACATCTCAATGTGTCATGTAAGAACCAAGGGCACTTCTAAGAAGGTAATGTGTCATGTCAATGTCCAACACAACATTACACTCATCAGATATTTCCCAACATTTAGAGACACATGAAACACAATATAAGTTTTATAGCGACCTCGGTCTTCTCCCATTTGATTATTGTATCTGGACTTAGGTTCCGTAGATTCTGTCATTGTATAATTGTTGTTGTTGTCCCTTATTTTCTCATTTGGACTTATAGGATGTGTTGGGCAGGTTTGTTTCAGGTTGGTTGGATTTAGAAACCAAGTGTTGTTGTCCAGAATTTTGGATCTTCGCTCGAGCGAGGAGTTTGTCGCTCGAGCGAGCTGTTATTTTTGGTTCTTCGCTCAAGCCGGGGTTTGGTAGCTCGAGCGAGAGGTTGCGTCTGATTTAGGACCTGTAGCTGTGCATTCTTGGCTCGAGCGAGCTTTTCTTCGCTCGAGCGAGTTAGTTCATTCTTCGCTCGAGCGAGAGTTCCTTCGCTCGAGCGTGTGTCTGGTTACAGACCTGAGGGTTTGAGTCCTTCGCTCGAGCTAGATTTATTTCGCTCGAGCGAGCTTTTGGGTTGTTGGCTCGAGCAAGGCTTCCTTGGCTCGAGCGTAGTTTTTCTGTGTCTGGTCGCTCGAGCGACCAAGTCTTCGCTCGAGCGAGCCTGTCAGGTTTAAATAGGCAGCAGCGTGTTTCAGATCTGTTTTTCTTGCACTTTCATATTCCAAAACCCTAGTTACGAGTTCTCTCTCCCTCTACACACCTTCTCTCTTAGGATTGATCTACTTAGGGTGTGTTTCTACCCTAGATCCTTCATTAAAAAGATAGAGTGAGTCGAGGGCTTCCATTTAATCTGAATAGTTGGCGATTTGGAGCACTTTGGTATTTGGATATCATCTCTGTCTTCTCCATTTGGGTTGTTGTCTTCGAGGTACGGATTTCCTACTCCATTTTATAGGTTTTGTTCTAAGTTTTGGTATTTTGATATGTTGGGGGTTACTTTGATAATTGTGGGAAAAACCCTAGTTGTAGTAATAAATTAATTTGTATAATTAATTTAAGGAAATTGAGGAATTCATTGACTAAATGGTGTAGTTGGATAATTTAAATCACTCACCTATGAAAATGTTGGAATTATATTAGTTGATTCATTTATTTCCTGTTTAGAAATAATTGTTTTGGGCTATCGGTGGAGGATAGTCGTGCTTGTTGTAGACACTGCATGTGGATTAGGGATAACTGAAACTAATCACATTAGTTGAGTCATTAATTTTGACTATTGCATTGATACAGAAAATACGTGTATTGATTGAGCATTGCATGTGCATACATTGTTTTGTGTGGGAGGAGATAGGGGATGTACTCCACGGTTTAGGGGAAGATAGGGGATGAACCTCTAAACCGGATTTTGTTTGGGAGGAGATAGGGGATGGACTCAATTAGCATCACTTTTATGTGTGCTTATTTATATTGAAGTGTTTT